CTGAGGAGCAGCAGCAGAGCCAGAAGCACCAGGGCAGCGGCAAGCGAGTGCCTCGGGGAGCATCGTGTGGCAGCCGGGTCCCGCAGGCAGGGGGCATCACTGGCTGTTGACAGGCTCCTTTGGGGGAGAGGCAAGAGCACGTCAGGGGTGCATCTTGGAGGTGTGCCGCCCGCCTTGCCTGGGGAGCGCCTGGCCGTGCAAAGGCATCCCTGTTCAGGGAGCAGGGCAGGGAGGGCTGCTAGGCAGCCAGCCAGCGCCCCGGCTCCCACAGCACAGAGAGCCAGGGGCACGGGCAGCTCCCACCAGCTTCCGATCTGCCGGCTCCTGGGAGGAAGCGACAGTTTTCAAACTAGGGGGACCCTAGGTGGGTGTGCCCCACAGTTTGAAAACCTCTGTGCTAAATGGAAGGCAGAAATCCTGTGGAGGAACATGACCCTGCACGCTCCCTTTCCCGCACACGTCGCCTCTGCATGGCTGGAGATTCCCCCAGTTCATGGGAGTCTCCAGTGAGTGTAAAACTAGCATCTACAACTTCTACATCTCCCTCTCTGCAGCCCCTGGCACCAGGCATGTGTTTGGGGGTTGGGAAGGGAGTTGTGGGAGCACACATCCTTGGGAACATAGCTAGTTGGCACAAGTTTAGAGTAACAACAAGGCTGTTCTAATTGGGCCTCGGTCAGAGAATCAGAGAGTTAGAGCCGGTTGCTGGTTCTCAGTTTTTCCCTTTTTCCCCTACCTTGGCCAGCTGTGCGGGCTGCCCGAGGTTTAGGTAGAGCCCAGTGAGCTCCCTTGCTCTCCCTGAGCCTTTCAGGCTCCTACCTTTGTCCCCCTGCATCCTCCCCATAGCAACAGTGCTGATTCAAACACTTCAGTTTGCTCTCACTTTCAGATCATAATCGAATACACATTTTCTTAATATAGGTTTCAGAGTAGCAGCCATGTTAGTCTGTATACGCAAAAAGAACAGGAGTACTTGTGGCACCTTAGAGACTAACAAATTTATTAGAGCATACGCTACAGGCCACTTCATCAGATGCATAGAATGGAACATATAGTAAGAAGTAATATATATACATACAGAGAACATGAAAAGGTGGAAGTAGCCCTACAAACTCTAAGAGGCTAATTAATTAAGATGAGCTATTATCAGCAGGAGAAAAAACACTTTTGTAGTGATAATCAAGATGGCCCATTTCAGACAGCTCACAAGAAGGAGTGAGGATACTTAACATGGGGAAATAAGTATCCTCACTCCTTCTTGTCAGCTGTCCGAAATGGGCCCCTCAAAACCTTCTTGTCAACTATCCGAAATGGGCCATCTTGATTATCACTACAAAAGTTTTTTTTTCTCCTGCTGATAATAGCTCATCTTAATTAATTAGCCTCTTAGAGTTGGTATGGCTACTTCCACCTTTTCATGTTCTGTGTGTGTGTATAGATATATATATCTTCTTACTATATGTTCCATTCTATGTATCTGATGAAGTGGGCTGTTGCCCACGAAAGCTTATGCTCAAATAAATTTCTTAATACAGTCACCCTGGAGGGTAACAGTGTAGCACCTCAAAGGAAACAAGCGTGCCCAGATCACAGGTTACACATCATTGCTCTACCTCCTGGAACTTGCTGGTGAAATGTGCCCATTGTGTGGTGTTAAGGAGGGGCATGCAGTAGGTTGAAAAAGGAGCATTATACATAAAAATGAAACGACGCAGCCAAAGGCAATAACTTGTACTGTAGGTATTTTGACCCTCGCAAATTTGGAATGTGTGGAACCCATCTGTGCATCATTTCTGTTCTGTACTAACTCCATTCATGACTCATACGTAGCCTTATAGCCAAGAAGAGGAGCAGCAAACTTCTTAAATTCCAAATTCATGTGTCTCAAACAGAAAGCAAAGCTAATCCCCAACACAGCCAAGTGTGAAACAATTCTGCTCTAAAAATTCCACCTCTGTGCTTTTACCCCGCTGCTGTGATTACGTCAGAGCAGCTGTAGGTTTTCAGTAGTGCTGCAGCAGTTTGGTTTCAGTTTTTAATTAAAAAAATTCTCATAACTAGGGAACTGAACAATAGAGTATCTTTTCTCCTAAATAAAAAATGTTGAAGTGCTGTTAACAGTAACCATTGTGCAGATGGAACGTGGAGAGATTCAGCAAGCATGAAATAAAGGAAAGTATGTTAGAAAAGGAAGAAATGTAAAATAATACATGATTAAAAAAGTAGTTTTACGGTTTCCCTTTTTTCTTCACCTCACTCATTTCCCATAATAGGCCTAGTGATAATTCTGTAACTAGAGGAAGATAAGTTCTCTGGGAATTAATTTTTCAGTACAGTTAGCAATTCACTGTTTGGGAAGTACCTGAACTGTAATATAATATTAAAATTAGGTATTGGTAACCAACAGTCATACATTTAATACTTTGGAATCCCTATAATTTACTACTCTGCACATATGTTTCCATTTATTTTAGTACCACACTGTAAAGTGAGCTACATTAAGGAGGTTTTGACAAAGGCACATATTTATATTTAGACACAGATAAACAAATATATTAAGCTGCATAAACACCTGCATCATATATATTGAACATTTTCCATCAGGCCTCTTTCCTTTGACTGAAATCACAATAGAACGAAATGAATTAGATGTTAATAGCTCTAAGTAGTGCAGGCTGAAGAGAATATTCTGTCTGGCAGCATACACCTTACATTCTTTGGTAAGTCTGGGGAATAGAAAACACTACTGTAGATGAAAAGTGAGAATAGTTATATCTTTGCTATTTGGATAAAAAAGATATCTCAGACCTCTGTGATCTAGTCTCTGGGAGAGCAAGCCATGCTCAAGTCATTGCCTTTTTGACATTTCAGCACTAGACATGGAAGTCTGTGTCTGTATTAGGTACATTTCAATGGGTAACTTCGTTTGTTTCTAGACACTGTGCTATACAATCTGGCCACCAGCCACTTTATACAAATCTCACAACAATATCTATCGCTTTATAAAAGGACTAAACTGTCCAGCCAGTGTTTACAATCAGATGATCTGAATGGAACCAGGGAACATTTCCCCTATGAGAACTCACAAGTACTTTTGGTTGAAAATTCAAATTATGAGAATTTGCACTGCAGACTTTCTAAAAACATTTAGCTAAAAATTCATTTAGTTGTACAGAAACATTACTAAATCCTGGAAAGAATAAAACAGATTTTTTTCAAGCCATGGGATGCATAGTTGATGGCACTGTACTTTATAAACCGGGACCACAATTTTTAACCTTCTTGCAAAATACCCTAGATCTACATATGGCATCTAAATATTTCAGATGTGAACACTCATCCAGATGTTGATATTATGGCCACTGAAGTCCAGTTGTTTGGTAAGTATGTTAAAATATTATTTTTATTAAATGGAACTTATTTATTATGGATTCTTTACCAAATTAAGAGTTTTTGTAATGGATATTTCATCACTGAAAATCAGGCTTACTATATGGACCCTTTTTCAATCCTCAAACCCCAGCCAATGGTAGATATAATCATTCAGATAAACTTGAGCCTTGATTTGAAATACCTTTTTTGGAACATTAAAATGAGGTTGAGAAGCCAGAACATTACAAGAAGGGTGCACAACAACTTTCGCTCTGTGGAACGTCTGCTGAGTGTTTTGCAGTGCTTTGCATGCAGTATAACATGGCTCACACATGGCACATTGAAAGAGCTGGCTCAACCAGAGGGAAGTGGACAAAAACACGCAGAAGCTGAGTGGGAAGCTTGAAGCAACTGAAGATGTAGAGATCATCTGGTGTAAAACACTTAGGTATGCACTTCTTTTACCAACAAAATGACATAGCACTTGACTGTTTTCTAATATATGTATACACACTGATTTGTTGATGTCACCGTACTAATTTGTTAATAAGTTGAAGAAAGGAAACTGAAAACAACAAAACATAGATGGGGCCCAACTCACTTGTCACTGTGAATTTTCTGTCCCCTTCTCAGCCCTCTGTAAAAGGCTGTTGGATGAAGCAGTTTGGCTGGAGTCCTAATGATGTGGGAAAGCAAAAGAGAAGGACCTTCAGTTTTGTGCCAGAGATTTAGCAGTAGAAATTAGTTACTCACTCATGTGAAAGTGACAAAGGCTGAAGATTGCCAATGCACTGCTCTGTAACCTATAGTACCTGACCTATGTTCTGTAGGCCAGATCATTATGTATTTGATCCAAGCCATCGATCTTGTGTTGTGTTCTTGTCCTGTCCTAATTCACTCCTCTAAGACACAGGTCTGCCAATGTGTTCTTAATGCTGTATTTCATGTTCCATTTTCTTCTCTAAGTCTTAACGGGTTTGCAAAATTCATACCCAGAGAAGAAGAGTGGTTTTGGTCTCACCTCTCATTATATTATATAAATCATGAGCATCTGAGAATGGTGTGTGAAGGCTGGGAATAGTTCTCCACCTCTTCCTTCAAAAACTACTCTAGTAACTCCTCCCTGCTCTACTGCTGTTGGTTTCTTCCATTCAGAGACATGGACATGTCCTGATTCATCAGTATATTTTTCCATCCATGTGAGATTTTTGTTTTAAAAAGAAAGAGGTGGGAATTACATGACTATGAGACACAAACATAGACTGGAGGTGGGTAATGGAAAGAGGTAGATACTTAGGTCCAATCTGGGAAAAGGGGTGAGCCTTCCTGCTATGTTTCCCTTCATCTTTAGATACATGAGGGGTTTTGTTTGTCCTTTTTCTGTGCACTCCAATCTTTACACCTATCTACAGATGGAATGTCCACTGGATGAATTGGAATGGTCTCTCCACTTAAACCTCACTCTGAGAGCTGTCCAGGGATATTCAGTGGCCCAAGATGAGGATATCTGCTGTCAGAACTGGTTGATACAGAAGAGCTCATAATTTTGGGGGGCAAGGAAAATAGCAAACTCCAAAATGTTTAGCAGAAATAATCCAATGGCTTTATTTTTACATTTTGTTTGAAAGATACTACTTGCTGGCTGCAGAGTGTGTGGATTCATCTTCCTTCTGGAGCCTGAAACAGGTCATCACTAGAAAACCTTGCATTCAGCCTTGCCCTGCAGAGAACATGGAAGGGGAGAGCATCTACGAGGTTGATTCTGAAGATGGGGTTGGAGGTAAGGGTGCCATCACTTGTTTTGTTTTCCCCCGCTGGCTGATTGATTACAGGGAGTCCTTCCGGTGACCTGACTGCAGACTCCACAGAAGAGGAACAAGTGTTAAGGTTGTCTTCAGTTTATCAAGTGTATTGTCACCCTATAATACATGCAATGAATAAAGGTATTTTTTGAAAGCAGTTGCTTCCTAGAAGAAGTGACCTATCCAGAGTCTGCATGTGTTTTATTGTAATTGAGAGTTGTTAGCTGGAGCCTGAGGTTTCTTTATAGGTGACATAAATTCCAAATATTTATAAATAAAGGTAGATGAGACTTTCACTTTTCTCCTTCTTAGTCACTTTTCAGGAGCTCCACTCTTTTCTGCTTGCCATCTTCTGTCAACAGTTTTCTTTGCTGAGTGTAGAAAACTTCAGGAAGCAGCTTTTTCTGTTTCTTGTGGAACATGTGTACTTAAGGAGCATTGTTTCCCAGCTCACCACTGATTATGTGAGAGTTCTGGAACAATTCACCTACCTTAACACCCCTCTCGTACTTCATTGGGTATAACAAGGCCTAATTATTTGTGAAGTGCTCTGGAAACCTTTGACAGGTATTACAGAATGGTAAAAACAATGCATGCTGTTGCTTCACTCCCCACTCTTAATATAACCCAACCTCTGCTCACAGTAACTTCTGCAAACATCATTATCCAACATAGAACTGTACATTGAACTGCCTGTTTCACTGTACTACATAAACGTCATGAACTGCTAAACCTCAGAACCTCTGGGAACATGCATATCCAAGTATTATGGGAAAGAGCTCCACTCCAAGTCTGCGTATCAGCAACATAATCATATTTTAGTTACTGAACTACACTGGAAACCTGTCAGGGTATTCTCCATCTGTGTTTACTTGATCCCTTTCAGTGATCCATACAGCAGTTGCCAATACATAGCGACCACCTGCATCAGCAGTTCCACACATGCTAGGCGGTAGAATGGCTTCGCTTACTTAAATGACACTGATTTGTAGGTTTCCTTTTGCTTGCAACAAGGAGCTTGCAGGTCTTCCTCAGTTATGCTTATTATGAACACTCAGAAAATACTGAGTAATTTTTAATTAGTAAAACAAAGTAAGATAACTACTAATGGTCATGTCAAATTACTTAATTTTTGTTGAAAATTGCTTGGTAATTTTCAGGTACTCATAGATGGTAAAGTAAATGTTGTTTACTTGTGTAAGAGACGTGTGCAATTATATAACAAAAATTGTACAGATATTTATCCATGCAAAAGAGAGGCCAAGATTACCCTCTCCAGTTAGGTGAGTGAAGAGTATATAAATACCCCTGGATAAAGAGTGGGTACTGTCTCCTTGCAATTGTTCTCCATTCCCCAGACTACTATGGAGCCCTCACTACAGGTTCAATGCTGGTATTGGGCTCTGTGCATTGGGTAGAGCTAGAAGCGCTCTGTAGTGCACTGTCTTCTGTTGGCATTGAGGATATTCAAGTAGTTTTCAGCTTTTTTTCTGTGTGAGTTCATTTGAGAGCATAGTAATTGGTGTGGTTTCACCCACATAGTTGTTGGTGGAGCATTTGATCCACTGGTTTAGGTACAACTGCGTGAAATGAGATAATCACTATGCTCTCAACTGAACTCGCACAGAAAAATAAGACAAAAACACCCTATCACCCATGGGGGAACACTTTCCCAAAGCCATCATTCCATATGGGATCTCTCAGTCCTTGTCCTCAAAGGAAAGCTGAAAAACACCTTCAAAAGACAAGGTGTGAACTTAAATTCATAACTCTGCTAGACCCCAAAAATCATAAAACCAGAGACACTGGCTTTATGGCTCACTACAGCAATTTGTAATCTACTAACCCTTGTTTGTCCTATGATTGGAGAGGTGTTAATTGTTCACTTCACTTTAACTGTAAAAAGCAACAGAGGGTCCTGTGGCACCTTTAAGACTAACAGAAGTCTTCTGTTAGTCTTAAAGGTGCCACAGGACCCTCTGTTGCTTTTTACAGATTCAGACTAACACGGCTACCCCTCTGATACTTCACTTTAACTGGTCTCTGCAATATGTTTACACCTTGTGCTTAACAACCTGTCCCACCTTGTATTTAGCTGTGTCACTCTCGTTACTTTTTCCAGACCTGAAGTAGAGCTCTGTGTAGCTCAAAAACTTTTCTTCCACCAAAAAAGTTGGTCCAATACGATATTACCTCACCCGTGTCTCCCAACATGGCTACAACTCTGCAACCCACATGTTTAATGGAGTTACTCTGTTGAGAACAGAATCTGGACCAACACATACAGGGCTTTTTGTTTTGTTATTGATTTCAGGAAAATGCCAGTGTTTTTATCATAACGGTCTGTAATGATTCCTTGAGCTAAAAAGAAACTCACTTCAACAGGATTCAGGGCTTGCCTACACTTGAAATGCTGTGCTGCTGTAGTGCTTCAGTATACATGCTCTCTATGCTGATGTGGGAGGGGTTCTCCCTTCGGTGCAGGTAATCCACTTCCCCAAGAGTTAGTAGCTAGGTCAGTGAAATAATTCTTCCATCGACCTAATGTTATTTACATCGGGTGTATGTTGACTTAAATATGTTGTTTATGGCTGTGGATTTTTCACAGTCTTTAGTGTAGACCAGGCCTCCGTTTCAAAATAACTTGTCAGTCTGTTTCTTATGCTTTTCTTCTAGTACAAGATTGGGATGTGTGTGAGGGGGAGGGAAACAAAATGATTTCCATTCTGAAAACATTTCCTCCTATGGGCAAAAGCTCTTTGGGGCAGGACCTGCCTTTTTATTCTGTGTTTGTGCAGCACCTAGCACCGTGGGGGTCCTGGTCCATGACTGGGGTTCCTAGGCACTACGGTAATATAAAAAAATAATAAAAGCCGACCTGCTGTGGCTTCAAGGCCTACCAAGTAGTGTCTGAGATTTGGAGAGGAAGAATGATTTTGTGAATAAAACCTAAGAGAGCTGGAATCTATTCTTTGCTCTTCCACAGATCTCTAATGTGGCTTTGGGTAAGTCTCTTGAACCACTTTGCCTTGGTTTTCTCATTGATACTCATATATCAAGATTATAAGTGTCGACAGTTTTTGAATCAAATAACTAAAGAGGGAATTCTAAATAATTTTACCAAACACACTGCAGTTCTGCACGAAATAAAAACAGAGCTTATAAGTGGAGTGTCAACCCTCATTTTCCATAACATCTATGGGTTTTGTTTTTCTTTTTTACTAAGGAATGCGTGTACTTTGTATGAGATGGTTCGTGACTCCCATTTGAGACTTATGAGAATTACATGTTTATAGCTAGAAGAACAGGTTCCGCATCAGAATGACATTAACAGATGACATTTCAGCGATTGGTGACAAAACCAGATATATGCCCCTTTTCAGCTACATCATTAGAATGAGTCAAAGGAAATTAACAGCTTCAAATAATGAAATGGCATTTGGGTTTCACTGATTCTAGATACAAGAGTTTTTGTTGCAAGCATGTTATTTAAAGATGAATTTATTTTAATGCATAAGGGGTCTGATCCTCAGAGGTTTTGAACACCCACTGACATCAGCTGAAGTTTCAGGAGCTCTGCAGCCTCTCCATATCAGATCCAAAGTGTGAAAAAAGTGACTCTATAGTGCAATATTTTATCCACTGTATGCAAGTGTGGAAATTCAGGCCAAATTTTTCAAATTTGGGAGCCTAAAACAAAGTGCCGGAGTCCATATTTAGGCTCCAAACAAATGCCTGATTTTCAGAGGTACTCAGCACCTCTGATGTCTAATTCACTTCAGTGGAAGCTGTGAATGCTCAGCATCTCTGCAAATGAAGCCACTTATTTGGGAGCCTAGATACAGATTTAGGTGCTTAACTTTATGCTGTCAAGTTTTAAAATTGTTGGCGTTGGCCTTTAATGTTAATGCAATTGGATGCATTGTGAGAGCATTTTTAACTTGATGCATCATTTCCTCATTTGGTGGCAGATTTTTCATTGGCCTTTAAATGGATCCAGGTAGGACAGGGTTCCCTATTTCCCCCCAGCCCAGACAGGAGCCAACCACAGTTACAGCTCCAGTGCTTTCCTTCGTCCTAGGAGCCCTGGAAGGCATTATCATCCTGAGGCATCGTGACTCCATGTGTCCTCCTAGGGCAGTGTGGCTCTACCCCACATTCACTGTGGGCCTGTGCCAGGTGGGCACAATTTAGCTCTCAAATTTTATTTTCAGTAAGTGATTGTCCCCATTTCTGATGTCTCAGCCCTCTCATCCTGCTCATTACAGGAAATAACCGTTTGAATAGTAGTGTGGATTTTCAGTATTCTCTTCAGATGTTCCTTGAGAGGCTTTTACTCCTTTTTGTTATATTCTGATAACTATGACTAGATTATCAGTCACTTATTCAGCCAATCCCATTCGTTGTCAAACTGGGAGGCCATATCAAATGGGGCCCTGGGCCACCTGGTTTGGCCTGGGTCTGATGCTAGTCAATATTTTCATTAATGATTTGGATAATGCAGTGGAAAGTATATTATGCTTATAAAATTTGCGGATGACACCAAGCTGAGAAGGGTTGCTAGCATTTTGGAGGTCAGGATTAGAATTCAAAACAGCCTTGGCAAATTGGAGAATTGGTTTGAATTCAACAAGATTAAATTTAATAAAGGTAAGTGCAAAGTGCTTAGGAAGGAAAAATAAAATGCACAGCTACAAAAGGGAAATAACTTGCTTGACAGTAGTATTGCTGAGAAGGACCTGCGAATTATAGTGGATCACAAATTGAATGTGTGTCAACAACATGATACATCTGCAAAAAAGGCAAATATCATTCTGAGGTGTAATAACAGGAGTGCTGTAAGACATGGGCGATAACCGTCCCACTCTTCTTGGCACTGGTGAGGCCGCAGCTGGAGTACTGTGTCCAGTTCTGGACACCGCACTTTAAGAAAGATGTGGACAAATTGGAGATAGTTCAGAGAAGAGCAACAAAAATG